AGAAATATTAGAATAATCATATTATTAGATTATAATAGAGCAACGAATAATGCAGAATATTTTCGTTCATTGCTACAATGGAAAGGATTTTCTGAAATTATTCTCACATTTTTTTGTATATTTTTAACAGGAACAAGTTGTATTACCGCATACTGAATTTCTTGTGAAAGTTACAGTCAAGAAAAAGCACAATATCATTTAGATTAAAGGGATAACGATTACGAATAAAGGTTATGAAACTAATTCTATTAATGTACGAGAGTTCTTAAACATATAGTTTTGAAGTATTGCCGAAATTGCATTTTTTTGATATCATTATTTTTATATATTCTCCTTAAATATCAATACATTTTTTCACAATGTATCAGCATTTTTATTCCTGTATGGTAAGAAAAAGTCGGACATGTACGAAGCCAATTGCGCACAAATTCTGCTTCATTCGATAAAATTCTTTCTTTTCAAAGTTCTTTTTTTGAGAGGTACAAACAAATGCAAGTCCGAAGGTTTTTGTCTAGATTTTAAAGAGAGTGTTCCACAGTGTTTCTAGAGAAATTTCTTAAAATTTTTCTTGCGTTACACCAGCTATGTTGGTATTGTGATAATAATTGTGAGCGAGATTGCAATTGAATATCTTTTTATACCGATATACTGGTTTACCTTTCTCCAAAAAATCCCAATAGTAAACTGCATTAACCATTTCCAGGTTCATTTTATTTCTGGATTATGGATTAAAGAATGTACTTTTTAATGCGTATTTTCAAACATAATAGCACCATTCGCATGCAAAATGTCGAAAAAAATGATGTAAAAAAATCTTTAGACAAATGATAAATTTACCTGTAAAGTTAGTTGGTTTTTTGTATAACAGAAATCATTAGACTTTTGTAAGACAAATTTATTTGAAAATTCCCCCTATTTATATATAAGGAATAGAATACCTAGTTTTTATGTTGAATTACAAAGTTTATTTACATTTTTTGCATTTATATACATGATTACGAAATTTCTAATCAAAATTTGATCGTGTGTGATAAATTCGAAAACACGGTACTGCGCTGAATCCACAACACAATCTAGTTAGAAGAAGCTTGTTTCTCTTCTTCCCTTTAATGTCTCTCTTTGAGCTGCAAATAATTGCACTATCTAATTAGATTTCTTATCTGCTGTGGGAATGTTGTCAACAAAGTGTCTTTCAGACAAGCGTGAAGAGGGTGCTCAACACAGGGACGTCCTCTTTTTGCAGAAAATTCCGCCTAGCGGTACTTTTCAATTATTCCAAGCTATAAAAAGCACATGTGAAATAATTCGGTAAAGACCAATTGCACAGTGTAAATTTTTATAGTGTCCGAGCTACACTTGAAATGAGCTAGTATGGTATATTTCGCCTGCCCAAGCTCAACTCGGGAAAAACCGGGAAAGGATTTATGTGTGGCAATCTGCAGTCTGTACGTTTTCCGTAAGAACTCTTGCAGAAAATAACTAGATTTTCACTTTTAATGATGGATTTTCACTTTTTTGTGTGCAATTCTATACTGGTTCGCTTTTTTTACAAGAGTACCAATGCGGAGGAGAACCCAACTTACCTCACAAATTAAAATTCTCATTAAAAATACATTCCTTTCCGCTTCTTAGTGATTCAGAAATCTAACAAACTTGTACTCTTGGACTTCCTTTTAAAATTTAAGAGATCCACCTTGCTGTAATTTTTCGGAATTGAAATTTTTTCCGAAAAGGAACCACACACTTACCGAACTCGTGCTAATTTTGCTGCTAATTTTATTAACTGTTATTTGAAAGTAAAAAATTACACATTTATCTATTTGTCCTTTGCCTTTGTATGGATTTTTTCTTTGTCGATGCTATATGCCAAATATTTTCAACTTCTTCATTATCATTTTTAAACACCTTATTCAAAGTTTATATTTTTGTCATTTTCATGTTTTTGAAGTAATTTGTTTGTGACAAATTTTAATAGATTTAGCAATTTCATTCGTTAAAAAATTCTGTCTCCCGGCTTTGTTGAGACTATAATTTTCGGTCAAAAATTATATTTCCTTTTTATTTGTCATTTTAAGTTTCAAAGAATTTGTTTGCACAAAACTGCATGGTAATGCGTAACAAAACTGATTAATTTTTAGGGAAGCTATAATTGGATTTTCTTCTTAAAATATAGAACTACGTACGAAAATTCTTAGTTTGCAGATACTACCGGTTATTACTTTCGATATAAAACATAAGTTAAAAATTTTAGTACATTAATTAGTAAAAAATTTAACCTTTTTTTTTTAGAAAAAAATGTAGAATATTCTTTGAGGTAGAACATTTGAAAAAATTCCAGTATTTTATTAAAATTTCTTTACATTTAATATTTTTTTTTTAAAACACTTGCATATATTTAATTATTTTTGACTGCATTTTTTGTTATTGTGCCCAAAAAGGAGACTAAAAAATACAAAATCAGTAGAAATTGGGTATAGTAAAAAATACTCTGAACATAGAGAGTCGGATAACTTAAAAATCCTCCTTCCTGCAACTGTAGCAGGTACATTGTTCTGTGTTTACCCGTCGTGCTGCCGACTGAAAACGTGAGTACAAGAACAAAAATAGATCAATTGAAAGAAACAGTTAAATGAAAGTTGCCCATCCGGAATAGTGGTGAGCGACGCTGAATGTAGTGGCGTAGGGCCTGGGTTCGAATCCCGGAGAAGACATGTATGTAAATAACGTATGATACCTTTGCGGTAATGGGGTACTACTCCAAATAGCCTTCGAGCTGGAAGTCCTCTCTTGAGCTTTGTGGAAGGGGAAGAGAAGTGGGAGGCTCCCTCTCCCTTCCACCAGGGTGTTCCCCTCTTTGGTGGAGAGGAACCAAGCTAAATTCTACTGTCATGTGCATGGGGCTCAAGGCTACGGCCGATGACAGGCGTACATCTAGAAGTCCAACTTGTCTAAGGCTCTGGTAACTTTCCTTCGGAAAGGACACGGCGACAACAACATTTAAATGAAATATTTCATTGGTACAATATGTTTTTAAGATTAAGTTCGTAAAACTAAGTAAAACAGGTGGGAATAGCAGCACAAATGTTATTGAGAAAGGATCAACTGACCAAAAGAACAGTTTTCCCCATAAAAAGGGGCTACCTTATTTAAAGAAATACTTCCATCACACAAAAAATAATATATATATATTGAAACAAAATTAAAAAACATCAAATCTTTAATAAATATATTTAAAAATTTAACTGACATACATCATGATTTTTAAATAATGCAAAAATTTATTGTTTTTCTTTCTTTAAAAATTCTCATTTGTGTTGGATTATTTTTGTGGGTGCTTTTTATTTCTTTCACATTTATTTATACAAATGCCAGACATTTGGACACCAGACCATTAATCTCGATCTAGCTTCCCAATACTTAAGAACAATGGAATTAAAGAATTGCAGTGCAGTGTATTAGAATGGTATTTATCCATGGACTGCCCAGAATTACAAAGAGTACAGATTGAAGAGACCTTAAGTCGAAATTAAAAAGATGGACATTCGCGCCCAGTTAGAAGACGAAATTACGCCACGGTTACAGGACGAGGAAAATCTGGAATGAATGGATTTTAACTTGTGAGACACTCCCAGGCCTTTCCCTTAGCTTCATTTGATAGGTAGGAGGCAAACATCCTCTTAAATTCTAATTTAATTAGTAGTTTCGCAGAATTATACAATTATTTTACACGTAATTATATTTTAATTAAATACATGCTTATTTCCGGAATTTATAATTAAAAAAAAATTCGAACAATCACACTTTTAATGTTATGTTATCCATTTTATTTTTCATACATCCGTAAAAGTTTGTTTTCTTTTATAAAGTCTTATCCATTAAACACAAACTTAGAGAAATTACAAAAATAAAGTTTTCGATTTATTGATTAAATTATAAAATTGTTTTCCTGTTTCATTGACACGTCTTTGTAACGCCAGAAGTTAAAAATTAAGTCTTATAGGAATATTTTTATTAAATAGAGAAATTGGCTAGTTCTTTTTTGTTTCATTTTTAAAACCCTTCGCTTCTATTTGTTTTATAAAATAAAAAATAAATAGTCAATAGAAAGGATAGCTTGTATTTTATCAATAAAGCAATGTGAAATGTGTATTGTAAAGTAAATATTTCTTCGCTATCTTTAGAATACTTTCCCATTTCGGAACAAATAACTTGATTGGATAACTTCAAATATGTTGTCAAAATATTCTACAGTATTGATATATGTTGTTAAACTGTTAAACAACTTTGGTACATTATTAAAATACTTTCCTATGAATCAAATAAATACTATTTTTCATGAATTATTTTCATGTAAGGTATTCATATTTATGGTAATGACGTTTTTTTAAAAATATAATCAAATTTTATAGGAATCGATATTTTCGTGTTTTTCTTGGTCTCTGTTGAAGAGTAGAGAAAATGGCTTGAAGGTTCGATGCTTAATCTACGAAAAACAAGGAGTTATTTTTATATTTTAAATTTCGAACTGTCTTTTGTTCTGCTTTGCATTAAAGATGTATAAACTGTTTTTGAAATTATTTAAATAATTTTTTAAAAATTAATTAATAATATTTATTTAATAACGTGTATTTTGTGTGTATCTGTATTTTTTTCTAAAAACATTCAAGTTGCATGAACAAATTTTATTTCTAAATAGGTAGCAGTTATTTTTATGCATTGTTGATGAATAATATGTTGTTATAATAGTGCAATTCCTAACACGATAATTTAAAAGAATATCATATAATCACGGTTGTTGTTGCCGTGTGTTTTATACTGGAATACACACGAAAGACGAGATATAGATTTCATACAGTACAAACACAGAAGAATAGAGACTTTTTATTACAAACGATGATCCGTGCATAGAACAGAAGGGGTGCGCTGCTTTCCATTCGAGATGGGAAGACGGGAATCAATTTCAGGAAAAAGTTCGACTTCTTTTTTTGACGATACATCCATGCCTTAGTCGGGATTCGAACCCAATCCCATTCGATTACAAGCCGAGTGTCATAACCACCATACTACTAGGGGCGCTTATATAATTCGGTATATTAAGTGAGCGAATGAATGTTTATTAACAACACAAGATTTTACACAGCAAGTTTCTGAGGCCATCTGTCAGCTCGAGGCCCTCAAAATTCATCGCGGTAAGGGACTACATTTTTTGCTTGTCGTTATCAGCAGCTTTGGACACCAGACAGGCGACAGAATGATTTGGATGAATGTTCTCGAATGTATAATTACGAGATCAGGTTTTTAAAAATTATTTATTCAGTATCAAAACATAGTATTTTCTATTATAGTAAACCTAAAATACACTTCCATTGAAAAATATTTAGATAAAATAATTCGAACCCGATCTTGTGGACAGGCATATCACTCGAACATAAAAACATACCTTTTCTTCGCTATCTGCAAATGTATGTTTATAACACGCCCTCATTTGCATTTAAGGTGCTGCCAACCGCAGGTGACTAAACGATCACAAATCGGGTTCGAGACTCGAATTCAGGATCACGGCACGGAAAATTGGAAAAAAAAACATTAACATATTTTTATAAACAGTCCAACATCACTATTCTACCGCGGCCATGAAAATAGTCTCCCAATCCTCACTTGGCATAATGTAAAAGTTTAGAAAAAGATGTACAAGGTGAGATACATCTGTCTCATAATTTGATTCAGGGTCAAAACTAAAATGGCAAAACATTCCGAAAATTAAATTTTCCAGCACCCGTTACTGACGTAAGGAAGAACAAATGGCTCCCAACTCTTGTATATAGTTTTCGCGCAGACAGTTTCCACAATACTATCAGTGATAAAATTCCCACAAAACAAAACAAAAGTTTCATCAATCCATGAACGTCTGAGAGGAACGATCTTCATTAATCACTTAAGATGACACAGAGGTGATAAGGGATGAGAGGGCTGTGATCAACAATATCAACGAATCGTGAAATCGGGCATTGTTTTGAATCTAAGGAATTTCCGATGTTACAGAATAAAGAAAAAGCTTGATCAAAAGCTTAAAGGTATGGTATATATTTCAAAAATTGTTCAAACGAGACATTTGGGAGGGATGATTTTGAAATAATATCCCATAAAGACATTTTGAAATTAGCGTCATTTAAAGGATGGAATAAGATTTTCTGGACTCTTTTTGTAAGACGTAGTGAAGTGGTATGAGTAGTAAATGACCATATAATTTCCCTTTTGAGTATTAAATGGTTTTCTAAAGAGTTTTTAAAATTTATTTTTATTAAAAACTTACACAATGTATCTCATTTTTATAGGTCAGTTTATATTTTCGTGAAAGAAGTAAATACAATTTATAAATACCCACTCGAGAACAATAATTTAAAGGAGTTGCAACGACTTTCAGTTTTTATTACACTAGGATTATATTCACAGTTTGCTTTGACTTTTTAACAATGTAGCCTAAAGGGTTTTATTACATTATTAAAAGGGTTTTTTTCTGTTATTACTGAAAATGAAATAAATAGATATCCGTTTCGTTCTTGCTATTTTGACATTTTCATAGTTTAAATAAAATTTTGTTTTATCTTTTTTAATTTATGTTAAGCTTGGAAACACTTCTACTTAAAAAAATTACGCTTACTTTCAATTTATAAATATATTAAAATGGATTAAAAAATGAACCCTCCATTTGGTTAAAATTTTTTTGGCAGTTTATTTTATTAAATTATATTTTCTTAAATTACAAAAATTTCTATTTGAAAACCAAAATTAGCTTATTAAAAATAACATATTTTTATCCATTATTCAAGCCTAATAATGCAATAAAATTAATTTACAATAAATAAAAATATAATATTAAAATTCTTTAAAACTTAGGCATAACGTCAAAAATCGCTTAAATTTTAAAAGTTCTTTTTTGAGGTCGAAACAAAACAACTAACTAATTCAATTTGTCAGATATCAATCATTAGTATGAAATATATTTTTAAAAAACTATCATTAGAAAAGCAACTTTCAAAAATTTTGAGATTGATAATGATATTTTTATATAAAAACTTGTATTCTTCTGCAAAAATTACTAGAAAAAAAAACAAATGCGAAATTTTTTTTACTTACTCGTATAATATTTAGATATGACACACATTTGTGACCTTTTTTAAATCTATGCAATTTAATTTAACATAGCAAGAGCTTAAACAATTTTTTTTAATTCTACCAAATATCATTACATATTTTAAGTATGAAACTTCGTATTTATTATAAAATTAATTTCTTTTTGTTGAAAATATGTTTTAGCAATTACGAATTAATTATCGAGAAATCGCTCATATATATGTGTTTTCTCGTCTCTTTCTCTTAAATTTAATCTATCTGTCTTGTTGAAAATAATCTCTTTAGCACTAAACTTACCAACATTTAATCTATACCTATTTCTTTATAGAAAAATCGGTCTTAGGACCGGTAGTAATCGAATTAAATACAATAAAGATTGTATAACTAGGAATATATATTTAGGTGCAGATTATCTTTCAGTCATCGGCATTAACCTTTAAATATGCGTGTGTAAGAATGATAACATAACTGGTTTTTAAGCAGAGTTCTGTAAAATAAATTAATATACTATATCGATGTTTTTATTCCGAAAAAAGGACTTAAATTATTCCTTATAAACTTATTAGATTTTCAGCTTAAATGTTTGAATATGTAAGCATTTTCAACCAAAAGCTATTTCTATTATTTTAAATGGTGCTCAGAGTAAACATTTTAAATATCGATAATGTAAGGAATAGTAATTTCAAAGCCATAATTTTTAGCTGCTGTTTAAAACGAGATTTTATTAAAGATTAAAATTGATCTAAATATATGGATTCAAGAGTTGCTCTACGTATAGTATTACCTCGACATATGCAAACCTGGAGTTACACGATTTTCATTTGCGTTATCTAAGATTTTATATTACATTTCTTTTTCTAAATTATTATTTTCTTTCATCTTTGCGGCCCCAATTAAAAATTAACTATTTATATTTGTATGCGAAATTATATCCCGACTTAAGCGAATTCAATTTATTCGGTTATCCCTCAGTCCTCCCTATCACGTAAGTTAGTATATTATTGTATTTATTGACCGAAATTTCTAGGTGAATTGGTAGTTTGGAGAGGAGGGTGCCAGCGTCCTCATCACTTGAATGAGGTTTAAAATTACGAAGTCTGTCACCAATAGCCCTTGTGTTGCTTTATAGAGCGACGTTAATAAGCACTCACTCCCTAAGGTTTCTAAAATGTCCCTACATTTTCTCTAGATTTGAATAATATGCTGTGATTTTCTAATAGCCAAGAAAAACTTAATGGCACAAAAATCATGTCGAAATTCCGAAATAAAACGTCTGTTATCTTTATCACCTAACCGCGCATCTTATCCTCATTATATTATATATTCATCATACAAAATGAAGCATTAAGAAGATTTGTGATGTGCGGTCATTTACCGAGTAAGATAATAACTGCTACTATGTAATTTCAAGCTGCCTGTTCCTTATAGAAGCAGATTATTAAAGTACCTATAAATACCTTCTTATTGTTATTTCTCTGTCTCGTGTGATCCGTTAAGCATCATAATCGAATAACCTGTATATAACTTTTGATGCGATTATCTGTAATAATGATGCTGCTATTATGAAAATATATGTCCATGGACACCACTAAATAACATATTACGGTTATACGCTTTTACCGAATGAACTCATCACTAAAGCTATGCCGTATATCTTTTTCTTAGGTCGTACGGATATAAAATGATATTCTTATAAATCTTAAGCACTTAAAGCTTCATTTTGATTTACAGCATTAACTAGATTACTTAAATTTAATTAAAATTATTAATTAAAATTGAAATATTATTGATATTATGTCACTGATTTTCTATATCAAAAGTTTTTTTTTAAATGAAATAATTAAAAAAGACAATCACACTCATTTATCGATGTTGCAGTACTATACCATTTGTATGAAAACTGTCCAAAAGCGTGTAAAATATACATAATTTGAATCGAGAAACTCTGGAATTTGAAGAATTCTTAAACAGTTAGAATTTAGAATTACATTTGAAGGTCTTATGTATGTATGTATATATATACACTCAAGAGCCAAAACATTATGACCACCCCTACATTTTGCAATGAACTCGCCTGGATGACGTGGAAGGCACGTGATCCGGTGGAAGTAGTATTTAAGTGCTGCTGGAGAGTCTGAAGAATCATTCTTTCACTTACTTCTGTGTGTGATGGGAAAGGCTGCGGATCTAAGCGACTTTGATAGAGGGCAGATTGTAATAGCTCGAAGGCTCGGAACAAGTATTTCCGAAATTGCACGACTCGTGGGTTGTTCGCGATCTACATTTGTTAGTACAAAGCAGTGGCAAAGGGGATGAATGATGGTGAAACCAGCAGTAAACAACATAGTGTTGGACGTCCACACGCTATCAAAGAAAAGGTCGTCGGAGACTGTCTCGCATGGCGAAGCAAAACCGGAGCCAGACAGTGGCTCAGCTGACAGCCCAATAAAATGCAGGGCCAAGTAGAATAGTATCTGAGCACACTGTTCAGTGGACACTGTTGGATATGGGGCTACGCAGCAAACGTCCCACTCGTGTGCCTTTGCTGACCAAGCTTCATCGCCAACTGCACCTGCACTGGGCCCGAGAACATCGTGACTGGTCCATGGATCAGTGGGAGAGAGTTGCCTGGTCAGGTGAATCACGGTTTGTCATTCATCATGCCGATGGCCGTCTCAGGATACTCCGTCTTCCAGGCGAACAGTTGCTCCCTCAATGTACAGTAGATCATACACAGGCTGGTGGTAGCGGTATTATGCTTTGGGGGACATTCTCTTGGGCGTCTCTGGGACCCGTAGTTGTGGTAGACCAGACCATGAATGTTACAGGGTATCTGAACATCATTGCGGACCAGTTGCACCCTTACATGGCCTCTGTTTTTCCAGCTGGAAATGGAATATTCCAACAGAAAAACGCCCCATGTCACAAGGCTAAAATTGT